GTTTGATACTCCGCACAACATCAAATAAGTACTCAGTGGCCCATAGCTGGTATTTATCCCTATGAAAAGCATTGCACATTTTCTGCTCACATCAGTACAATGTGCAAAAGTGTACTAGAAGCCATCAATTTCAACCTCCAGGTCAGTCATTTTCACATTGACCTCCCATTAGAATCACCTGGGAGGCATCTAAAAATCGGATGCCTGGCACCATTTAAAGAGAACTGCTGGTTGGGCCTAGGCATCAATATTTCTTAAATCTCCCCAGAGCATTCCGATGTGTAGCCAAGGTGGAAAAGGATTGCTCCAAGCAGATGCAAGAATCCCTTTAGTAAAACTAGGAATTTGTGTTTGAAAGCATATATTGATTTTTTTTTATAAGCACTCATGAAACCTCAGCAATTAGAGCTGGAAAAGGAGTTCAGTCAAGTTCAACCTCTTTGCCCTGAGCAGGGAAATGTGAGACCATTTTACATCAGGGGCACTGGAGACTCAGAGCAAAGAGGTAGCTTGCCTACACCCCACACTTACTACCCATGGACTCGAAAGCAGGATCACAAGAACAATGCTTCATCCACAGCTTTATACAACCAAGACCACAGGGTTCAGAGAAGGCTTCTCCATCCCAAGCAGGCCCACTCTTATCAAGCAGTTCTTTTATAAAAATGCAAAAACTGGGATGTTGCTAAATATAACATAAAGGTGAAAATTATGTCAATAATCAGAACCAATTGGTCAATTTTGGTTTGGTTGGCTTCAAAGTGAGAAATTGATGGACATCTCTATTTTGTGGAAAAACAAACTTTAGAAATAAGTCAGAGGAAAAAATAAAATCTAAACCTTGACTTTGAAAAGTTTAAAAGCAAAAATATACAGGACTTTTAATGAAGTGAATTAAATATCCAGATATTTAGCTAATAATTGTAGACAACGTTGGGTCTTTTTTTATCCTTACAACAGAACAGATTTGCAGCTTTGAACTGGAAGAAAGCTTTCAAAATCTCTGACTCAGGGACTTTCTGAGTATAGAGGGAAACAAAGTTGGCTTTTTTTTTTTTTTTTTTTTTTTTTTTTTTTTTTTAGTAAATATAGAGAAAAGGAAGTAAAGTTCCCACCTTGAAAATCATCTGCTCTTTTACTAATTAATCTGTGGGCTTAGTACATATGTGTCACTTATTGAATCCCTGTGTGTCTTTTAGATACTACTTGCCCTTATCAAGAAAACCACTGAATCAGTCAATAAACTTGATAAGAAATAAAGGTGCTTATTAGGCTTATTAAGTAAGCACAGGTGATAACAGAATAGAAATATTAAGAGGCAATCCACAGACCTAAATTACTTCTTGTTGTAAGTTTGTCTGAACTTACGCAGGAGAAAGACTTCTAAAAGTTACATGTATGTTATAGATTTTTCTTATCTTTGACTCATTTTTAACTGCCTCAAAAGAGCTGGCCACTTAGTGGAACCCTGGAGTAAATCCAGAGGTCTATGTTAATGAGAATTTTGAGATCTTAATTTACCTGTATGCTGAATCTCTGCCCTGTTCAAGTTGTCTAAAAGCAAAGGCACATCCATACCATAGAATTTGACATAACTCTTCCCCATTCCTAAGGTGCCTCCTTGAGCACCACAGCAAAATGTCAAAGCCAAGTCTATGGGACATCAAGACAGCCAGGCAACTCAAAAAAATCAGTCAGGCCTGCTTTTCATCATTACATGGGCCTTTCCTTTAACAACAGTAAAACATAAATAAATAAATAAATAAATAAATAAATAATCAATAGTTTAATTCGTTCATCATTTTCTAATAGGTGGTATTGAGTTCATTATACACAATTTAATTGCTTTTAAAGAGGAAGTCAACCACATCTAATTTAGGGATTGTGTAAATCATTTAATCAATTGACTGCAAGCTTTGTCTCCATTAGTGTTGGTTCTGTGCAAGCCCAGAATATTGAGTGATTTAAGAAAGTGAATACCAAAAAAACCACCCAAATTAGTGTAGACCTGAGGCCGGCAAACTTTATCTGTAGAGGTCCAGGCAGTAAATATTTTAGGCTCTGCAGGCCATATGGTCTCTGTGGCAACTACCCAACCTCCCTGTTGTAGCAAAAGCGGCCCATGCAACATGTAAGCGAATAGACGCGGGTGTGGTCCTGTAAAACTTGTGTTTGCAAAAACAGGTGTGTCGGCACAGATTTGGCACACTGGCCCTTGCCCTTGTGTGCAGACCCCTGATTTAGGCAGAGCCTGGGAAAACTATTTGTAAGATCCTACCACTCAAGAATATTTTGGTTGTGCCCCTTTAACCATTTTAATCAAACTGGAAAGCCACAGACATGAAGGAATCTGCAGCAACCCTGATTGCTGGAGATGGGCCCACGGAAGTGTCGCTGGAGGGAAGGGCTCTCTCATCACTATCATTACTTATCAGGAGACTTGACAACATTCATTTAGCTCTGGCAAAATCCTTGTAAGGCGGTGATTAGAGCCCCCATTTTCTAGGCATTTAAGAATAGAAGGTGAAATAATTCCGTTGAAGAGCCAGTTTTCAACCCCAGACTCATCTCACTCCATCGCTCCTGCCGTTTCCGCTCACTGTTAGTAATTGGCCTACACTAGGTTTCTTGTTGGGGTGGATGTTAGTGCTTCGCCTCCACACAGGACCTGCAGGACCAAGTGCAGAAGCCAGGGGGAGAATTTGCAGATTAAGTGACTACTTTATCCCATTGACCAGTCAAGCAAAGCTCAATTCCATGAGTGGGGCTTGAAGATTTCCATTTCTTTGTGCCAGCAGCTCTGAGCTGATCTGAACTAAAGCCCATGTTCACGTTTAGTCCACAAACGAGGGTCGTGGGCCAGGTAGGGAGGAGGCAACAATTACAAAGTGAATGTTTTCTTAACCTTTTCCAGAACCTCAGAGCACAGTCATTTCAGCTCGTGCCTCCAGGGTGTTTTCTGAAAAAAGAAAGTGCCCTTTCAGCACTCTTGGTGTCTGATTGCAAACCCTGCCCTTCCACCAGGTGATTCTGAGCGGGCTGACACATGCTGCCCTATTTTCACTGCTTTTCCCACAGGGTTTAGTCACCTCGGTGCCCTCAGTGGCCTAGACAAGGGCCTTACTTGGATCCAGGGTAAGAGCATGGCTCTGGTGCCTGGGGCCTTTCCTAAGTCCCTTTAAGATGCCAAAGGACAATGAGAGAGAATCCTAATTATGTGCATCTGTTGTGGAGAAAGTTTGCCCAGTTATTCCATGGACGAGCTCACAGTGCGGTCTCCCTGAGGATGGAGTTTTGTGGCCCCTGATTGGACCTCCATGGTATGAGCAGAAAACATGTCTCTAGATCCCATCTTATGAAACTTCTAGTCTCTTAGGAGGAAGGAAAGAAGAAGGAAGGTAGGGTGTAACCAAGAGGGGAGAATATGAATGCAAGAAGCAGCCCCTGTCCCAGACACCGAAGCAAAACCAGGGCAATCAACATCCTTTCCACAGAATCTCAGCTTCCTAAGGGGGACTCTGCAGAATGGCTGGTACCTGTACCCCATTTTACATGGATAAAGGAGAGTGCCCTGCTCTGAGTAGATAGGAATCAAAGCAGAAGTCCCTCCAGGGGCTCACATATAGCCCACTGACTCAGCTCTGAGTGTAAGGGCATAGGGACCCACAGCAGCTCCCAGTAAAGGCAGTGATGCCCACCCGCCCTCGGCCACAGGCACATCCATGGGGCTGGCTGCCATTGTCCCCGAAGGCCAGGGTCTTGCTCTATCCTCCTCTGGTAGCAGTTACACACCACCCTTACTAGAATATCCCCAACTCTCTTGGAAGGATTCCATAACTCTCAAACCCAAATTAGAATTTATTTCTTTTTATTTTTTTTTAAACATCTTGCCAATATCAATGATGAGACTTCATGATCTGAGAAATTTTGAAGCCACTCCTCCATATTACACATTAACCAGCTCAATTCCAGGGAGTTTGCACAAGAAATAAAGGAACAATGAATTGGTGATAAAGGGATTATAAGTTATATTTTATGTTTTAATCAATGAAGGTATATTTTCAGAACTCTAATAGAATATCTTTTGTAAAATAAATACACTCCCTAATTTATCTTTTTCTGTAAATCTAAATTTTCTTATATTAAGTTTGCTTGAGGTAGGGCATACCTGAACTCATGAAAAGGCATTTTAAAATGACTGATAGAGCCATTTTTTAGTAATACTTCTTTCTGGAGGAAGTCCAGAACCGAGCCCCAATAAGATTCAACTCTCATGAGGCCACTGAGTTGACTTTGTTATTTCAAAAAAGAAATGTTGTAGATAATCTCTGTATGATTTCAATTATTAGTAACACGAGTCTTTGTTTGGTCCCACAGAATGGAAAATAAAGATCACAGTTGTTCCATCCCACTCCATGGATAAACATAAAGGTAACAGATAAACCTGCTGTCCTTTTGCACCCACCTCGCCACAGAATGGGGAGAATGACAAGAGGCAGGACAGTGCAGTGACAAAGCCCACCTCCCACTGTCCCCCCACGTCCACAGACACAGAGCACGCCTGCCTGGCCGAGGCTGAGCGACTCAGAGAGAAGCAGCCCACAGAACTGAACCTCGGGCTCCAGAGCAGCTGCTCATACAATAAAGTCATGTATAAAGACCTCTCTGACTTCCCCCTCCTGGCCCCAAACCAATATCACAGTTGACTTTTGTTTTGTGAATCATAAACCGCCCTTTTTCCCCACAGTGATTCATGCCCAGCAGCCCAGGGACCACGGGCCTTCCCACCTGGGAACAGTAGTTCGTTCCCCTCCAACCTGGCAGGGTGCTTTCTCCACCGGCTCTGTCTCACCCATCTCCTTCCTCCCTGCTCTCCTGGCCGGGACCCCAGACCCTGCTTCCACCTCCTGCCCCACCCCTCCCAGTTTCAGGCTAGCGGGTGAGCCCCCCGCCCCTACCCACGCTGATGGGGCTCTGACAGCCACAGGCAAAGCACTTACATTTTTGCCAGAGCATGGCCTGTGACAGGATGTTGCCTTTTTTCTTTGAAGCAGACAGTTTGGCTTCTTTAATGTGAGACCTGCGTGTGCTTTCCTCCAGCGTAGCCACTGCCTGCTCAGGGCCGCTTCCTCGGCTTTTTAAAGGCCGGGTTCCCGCTGCGCACAGCGTCATCACATCCTCCCCCCGGGCCCCGCGCGTCCTCAGGAGGCTGCCTGTCACCCAGTCACCCACCCGCACCCCCAGGGCCCGCCAGCTGCATACCGCTGGCCGGAGCCGCCAGCTGGACCCGAACCACCATGAGCCCACCAGGCCGTGGCCCTTCCCGTGTGGCCAGAGTGATGTGCCCTGTGGTGAGTGGGAAAGGGCGAAGGAGTGGGACCTGTGTGCGTTGTGTGCCCAATCCTCTGTGCCCCCGCACAAACGAGGAGCCCCCAAAGTCCTCGTTTGGAAAACTCTGGGTTTGCTGTGGTCCCCCTCCAGGCATCTATACCACCAGGATGTGAGCGGGCACTCAGTCCACCATGGGCCCTGCTCACGGGAAATGCTGTTCCCATGGGGTCACTGGTTCTCACTTGCCGGAGGAAACACCTGTAGCCTCTTCAAGCCTCACTAAACAACCTCCTTGTTCTTTTAGTATTGCTTTTCTGTTGGTTCCATTTTAAAACTCAGCAGCCCCTCTCCTTGCCCCCCAGCCACCACCAAAATGGCACGTCTTACTCGTGGTTAAGTAGGGGGAGACTGGGTCAGAGGGTCCTCAGGCCCACAGAGGAGGCCAACTCACTCAGGGGGGAAAAAAGAGGACCCCGTGCCCCCCAGCTGGGCTGGCTTCCCAGTGGGAATCTGCAGGCGCACTGTGAACACAGGGCCCACCCACCTATCAGCATGAAGCTCCCGGAGGAAGGTAATGGGATCATCATCAGGTCGTGTTTAGGGTGTTAGGCTATGGCTCCTTCCCAGTTTAGAAGCCTTCAGCCATGTGTATGTGAAGTCCACATGCTCGGGCCCCAGTGACCCACAGCTTGGGATCCAGACCAGCTAGGGCCCACCTTGCTGCTGTGTCCCAAGACTGCCTCAGAGCCATCTTACACAGCCTAGACTGGCTCATGCCATTCCCCAGGTTAAAAAGCTTTCCCCTACTCCCTCCAGTCCAGAGCTGGAGGCACACAAGGCCTTTCACAATCTAGCCCTTTCCATCTTTCCAGCCCCATCACTCACCACCACCCCTGCCACTGGCCCCCAGTGACTTCTAAGCTCCACTCTGCACATCCACCCAATTCCCTGCCTTTGACCTTGTCATCCTCTCTTGCCAGCTTCCTCTTCCCAGTTCCTTCTTTTTCAATATCTAGCTCAAGTAGTACCTTTTTTTGGTGAAAAATGTTCTGACACACCAAACCGCCTAGCCAAGAAAATATTAGGCTCTTTCTCAGCTTTTGGAGTACTTTGTTTATTGTATGACAGCAAATTGTTGCATGGCTGTAGGTTCCTCAAAGAGGTTTCCCTGTCTCCTGGTTCCTCACATGGGAGCATACCTGTCCCTCAATAAAAGCTCAGTTGACGGAGTAACAGGTTTAATAAATTACTGTCTGCTAAGGGGTTGCTTTGAGGGCAGGTCTTGAGAAAAATTATCCACATAAAGGACTCATTGAAAACTGAGAAGTCTACCCGGGTTTTGAGCCCTCACGTGTGACTCAGATCAAAAGTCAAACTACAGCCCAGGCCTGTGTGGCTCAGTTAGTTGAGCATGGTCCCATGCACCAAAAGCCTTTGGATTTCAGGACAGGGAAGGCCCCAGGTGGCCAGTGGCTTGGCAGGGAGCAGTGTCACAAGGCCTTGAGCCACTGAGAAGTGTCCACTGGAAACACACCTCCATCAGGTCTGGCTGGTCATAGGAGATGCTGGTTCCCATGGAGGCTTTGCCACTCACTGGCTGTGCCCCCCCGGCCATGTCCAGTAACTCTTCCAAGCCTCAGGCTCCTTGTTTGTAAAATGAAGAAGCTGCTCTCAAGATGTTTCATTCGGTTCTTAGGGGGCTATGTGATCTCACAGGTCCCCTCACATTGTTCTGTATTTTGGGCGTTTGTCTTATTCTCTCCAAGTTCACAAAATTAAGAACTTTTAAAAATTCATCTTTGCTTCCCTGTACAAGCCTAGCTAGCATAATGATTTCAATGAAGTAATAATAATGACTACTTATTATGGCCCCAAACTCCACGTTAAGCCCTAACCATCTAGTCACCACAACTCTGAGGAAACTTCTATCCATATTGTTCAGCGAAACAAGCATATGTTTAGGAAATTAGATTTACTCAGGGCCACAGGACTGTTAGGCGTAGGCAAGGTGTCAGAACCCAGTTCATATAACTAGAGACAGAGCTTTAAATACTAATTGATATTCATTAAATGGAGATCAGTGAAAGCCAAATTCAGCCATGTTTATTAGTACCATGTTTCCCCTAAAATAAGACATCCTCCGAAAATAAGACCTACTTACAGGTTTCCTTCTGAGTGAAATATAAGGCATCCCCCAGAAAATAAGGCCCCCCTAGGCTAAACATGAGAGATTTGGTCCACTGATTCTGAAAGAAATATGGAGTCACAAGAAATTCAGGAATTGGATTGTTATGATGATGTTCCAGAAGATGATGACATATTTGTCATTGAATAAATGAGTAAATTCTTGATACTGTAGGATTCACAGTTTGTCTGGTTTGTGTTGACAACTACCGAACTATCGTACTGTATACAGGTAATAAATTTCCTTTATTTTCATTTAACAATAAATGTGCACCGTATTCTTCTTCATGGAAAAATAAGATATCCCATGAAAATAAGACCTAGCACATCTTTGGGAGCAAAAATTAATATAAGACACTGTCTTATTTTTGGAGAAACAGGGTAGTAACATAGGATCACTGATCTTAAAATTTGAAGCAGATCAATAGATGTTTATATACCCGGGGACAAATCCTTGTCCTCAGAAAAGAGGGGAGGAAGAAGACAAACCCAGAGGTGTCTGACAAGTCAAATCTCGTACAGTGGCAGAGGAAAAAAAATCTCAGTTGGCAAGTCCAGCATCATGCCAATAATAAACCCTGCCACGTCTGACAACCTCGAAGCTCAGAAAGCAGATTCCAGCCCAGTGCTTCCAACAAAGACCTTAGACATCCATGACCACACATGGACAGATACTTGGGAACCAAGACTTGATCTAAATGACAAACATTTGCTGAAAAGACATTTCCTGTGACTCAGATCAAAAGTCAAACTACAGTCCTGGCCGGTGTGGCTCAGTTATTTGAGCTTGGTCCCATGCACCAAAAGGTCGCCAGTTCAGTTGAACAAGGGGTACATGCCGGAGGAGACAACCAATTGATGTTTCTCTCCCTCCCCCTCCTTTTCTCTGTCTCTAAAATCAATATAAACATTTTTTTTTTTTTACAAAGTCAAACTACATGGCAAAGTTCAAAAGAGGACAAGCTGTCCATTTTTATGCAACGTCTCAAGAAGCAGAGAAATTTAAAAAATCTGATAATGCCATCCATATGTGCTCACATTTTCAAAAAATTGGTATACCAAAATTAAAACTCCTGAAATAATTCAATAAAGAGCATCGATTCACATTGCAAAAAGAACTCTTACCTTCCAAAATGGATTCACCATAGATTTAATTTCTTCCTTCACTCAACAAATATTTACTAAATGCTCATTATGTGCTGGCATCTATATCAGACCTTATTTTTCTCTTTTCATTTTGGCTTTTATTATCCTCTTTATCCCCAGCACTTTATCATCATTGGTCCAAAAAGTCCCTCTCTTATTTACTCATTCTTCTTTTGTTTATTCATCATTCATTCATTCATTCATTCACTTTTTTGTATACCTTCCATGCATATTCTTTTTTTTAACATTAATTAGGGGGGGGGGGTGTTTGTTTTATTTATTTACATTTTTTATTGATTTCAGAGAGGAAGGGAGAGGGAGAAAGATATAGAAACATAAATGATGAGAGAGAATCATTGATTGACTGCCTCTCCTGCACATCCCCTACTGGGGATTGAGACCAGAACCTAGGCATGTGCCCTTGTCTGAAATCGAACCTGGGACCCTTCAGTCCATAGGCCAATGCTCTATCTACTGAGCCAAGTCGGCTACAGCCTCCAATAGTCACCTATCATTCACCTCCAATAGTCACCTATCATTTCAATCAAAGCAACGGTTCTCATCTGGATGATGTTAATTCTTTTATTTGTAAGTAAAATATATTTGCAACTTGTTCTTGAAAATCTGTACTTTTTTGCCCTCCTAGATTTTTAATTGATGTAGGTGCTATAGTGTTAGAAAGCTCATACTGCTTCTTATCTCAAAACTGTTGTAAGATCCATCCACATTGCTATGCATACTTTCCATCTGTCATTTCTAAATGCTTGAAAGTATTTCATGGAATGCAAGCACCACCTTTTACGTAACCAGATTGTTTCCAGCTCTCCCTCCAGAAAACATCAATGAACATGCTGACATGTATCCTTGTACAGAGGCATGTGAAAATGTCCTTGGGGTTACATGCAGAGGCAGAATTCCTAGGTCAAAGAACATGCATAAATGCGGGCTGACTAAACACAACTAAATTGCTCTCCGGGCTCCAGGCAGCAGTTTGTGAAGCTTCCCTTTTCACCACCAGACTTGGCATCAGCAGCTTTCTAATTTTTTGCCAACCTAACAGGTATAGTAATAGTTCACTGTCGTTTTATTTTACATTACTAACAGTAATAAATTTGAGCATCTCTTCATATGCTTGCTAACCTTCTGGATTTCTTCTTTTTTGAAATTTCTGTTCAATCTTTTGCCAATTTCTCTATTGAGTTTGCTGCATTTTTCTTATTGATGGGCAGTTCATTGTATATTCTACAAGTGAAATTCTAGATATTATCCGTTTTAAACAATGCAAATTTCTTCTCCTAATCTGTAATCTGTAAGCTTCACTCATGGTGTCTTTTTTTTTTTTTTTTAATATACTTAACATTATGTATATGGGCCTGCCTTTGAGTTATATTTTATTTCATTGACTTCATTGTCTGTTTTTGTACTAACACTTTACAGGTTTAATTATTATTTATTACAGTGAATCTTAAAATTTTAGAATAAGTACATCAAATTCCTAAAAAGAAAAAATCCAACTGGAATTTTGA